TTCTTATGCTCCACTTTTTTTTTTTAATCAACCAGGTTCCAACGTTCACTCTTAGTTCCTTTCTCTCTTTCTAAATGAAAAGATGAAGCAGGGACAAGTATTCACAATACCTTAAAAAGCAGAATTCACACATTACAGCGGTACCTGAACAACTTCCTGGTGGGTAGGGCCCAGAATAAGCGTGTAACATAACTATTTTTTCTCAATACAGCTTTACTTTCTTCCTATTTGGTGAGGACCTGTCTCGGATTTTGAAATTAAGTTTTCTGACAACCTTAGCTTTCAGTAGCAAGTTTTGCCTTCTTCTGTGTGCTGTGTGTGCGTAGTCCCTCAATTATGTCCGACTCTTTGCAACCCCATGGACTGTAGCCCACCAGGCACCTCTGGCCAGAATATTGGAGAAGGGACATGTAATCAGGGCAACTGTCTACCTACCAGGAGGCCAGGAATACTGGTGGCATTCCCTTCTATAGTAGGAGAGCATTTTGACACACACATCTTTAGCTCATTTCTAGTGCCTTACAGGCATTCCTATAACGCATCTTTCCTATATCAAAGTGGAATTTTCCACCACCTCTCCTGCCTGGTTTTCTGATTTAACAAAGTTTGTAAAAATACCAGCATCCGGCATGGATTGCTGCCGAAGCTCTTTCTTCTTATGCTCCACTTTTTTTTTAATCAACCAGGTTCCTTTCTCTCTTTCTAAATGAAAAGATGAAGCAGGGACAAGCATTCACAATACCTTAAAAAGCAGAATTCACACATTACAGGGGTACCTGAACAACTTCCTGGTGGGTAGGGCCCAGAATAAACGTGTAACATAACTATTTTTTCTCAATACAGCTTTACCTTCTTCCTATTTGGTGAGGACATTAAGTTTTCTGACAACCTTAGCTTTCAGTAGCAAGTTTTACCTTCTTCTGTGTGCTGTGTGTGCGTAGTCCCTCAATTATGTCCGACTCTTTGCAACCCCATGGACTGTAGCCCACCAGGCACCTCTGGCCAGAATATTGGAGCGGGTCACCATGCCCTCCTCCAGGGGATCTTCCCAACCCAGGGACAGAACCCAGGTCTCCCGCATTGCAGATGGATTCTTTACAATCTGAGCCACGAGAGAAGCCCCTACACCTTCTAGTCTCTGATAACATTTAGCTGAAACATGAGGGAAACTGCATCAAGTACTACAGCCAGACATCATTCAAAACCAAACACCTTTCCCTTTTTAGATTATCCCGCCAAAGATCACAAGTTGCTGTCTCATACATTGATGCATTCCCCCTACCCACAATCCTAAAACCTTTCTGATAATGTCTGATATAGCTATCTGGTTTATGAAGCTTTGTGCTGGATGAACATTTTTATTCAGATTAATTTTAGTTTCAGATTAATTTTAGTTTCAGATTAATTCAGATTAATCTTAGTCTTTTTTAGAATTTGATTCCTTATATTTCATCTAGGATAAAACTTGAATATATTCTATCTTCCCACATGACATCCTTGCATGTATTATCCTTGTCCTCACCCTTCACACATTTGTAATAAAGCACTTTCCCATTTGAGACCCAGAGCCCTTCCCTTTCCAACTATTCTGAGACACATTTGCCAGTTGGCTGTCCACCAAGATTCAAGCTTCCCTCTGCATAGTGTTGGTTTGTTGCTGGGTAATATTTCCCATTCCTTTCTGCATCTTGATGAGGTTGTGTGACTACAGCCTCTGATGGCATATGAACAAAAGTGGTGAGCATGACTCTGAGGCCAAGGAACATAAGCAGGAGGTGCACCTTCTCCTTAATCCTTTTAAAAGTCTCCTTTCACTGGCTGAATCAGAAAACTCTGAGTTCCTTGCTGATGGTAGAGGTAGCAGATGAAAGGAGCCTGCGTTTCAGAATCATTATGTGGAGGAAAGAATCTTGTCTACCTGAACCATCCGCAATGGACCATTATGAGGAGAACAAGGTTTCCATTGTTAAACATGACTTAGGAGTTTACTTGTTATAGCTACTAACTTAATTCTAACTAAATTAAGCACTGAGACTCATCCATCCTTCACCTTTTGTTCTAGCCAGTATCTAAGGTGGCTTCATTAGAGTCCGTGGGTCATAGATGCCAAACACATTATCTCAGCAGACATACGTGCAGCTATCTCTTCTTCTGAAGCTTGTCCTCTATTTGATCTTATTTCAAGCTCTGTTTTCAAAACAGAAGGAACTGGCATTCCAAAGACCAGTAGCTGACCAAGTGCTTTCTGATGGACATTTTCTAAATCACCACTCCTCACTCACCCCTCAGGGGATGCCTCCCACCAACCACACCATGCCAAGGGAATGATCTTTTCCAGTATTAAAACACATTCAAATCACAGTGGCCACAACAGACTCGGTTTCCACTAAGTGCCAAAAATAAGTGTCTTCCTTGCCTTGAGTAATTTGAATATCTTGCAGTAACCCAGCTGCTTAGATATTCGGGGCAGCCCTTTCATCTTCTGATGGTTATAAGAAGCTATAATTAATGCTCCAAAGGTGTCAATACCACACACAAGCCTTTACATAAACAAGTCACATCCAGGTATGTCAGGCAGAACAAGACTGCTTGGACAAGTTAGTCATCACAAAACCTACTTCCACATACGTAAGTTAGAGGGCAGAGTGTAATGTTGGCTTCAGCTCTGCAGTACGGCCGTGTTCCAGCACCTTACTTTTAGAAATCTGGCCTCACCATTTGAAATCAAAGTTGATATGCAGGTGGGGCCAATGGAATTTTCCCACCAGCCAACTGTGCCCGTAAGAGAGATGGGATTCAGACGCAGTCTTACAAGCACTGGCAGGCATCCAGGGCTTCTGTCCATGCCTGTCCTTCCCTACTCGTTGGCCCTCCAGAAGACGCAGTGACTTCCATTAGGTAAAGTGACATGACAACAGTTTTTACAGGAACCAAGAGTCATTCGTCCCCGGAACATTTTAGCAAATGGATCAAAGCAGTCTGATGGCACAACTCACATTCTAAGGCCAAGAACAAGAATTACATGGTTTATTTTAAGACAACAGAAGAGTTAAAAACAGATTGAAAAACATATGATATCCCCTCCAGCTCAAAGCTCTGCAAACAGCAATGGCATCTGCAAAGTTCTGCGTGTCTTCTCAAATGTGGTTTCAGCTTTAATGTGTGGTGACATCTTTCTCTGTGTGCAGAATTAACTGGAAGAACAACAGCTTGTGCTTTTTTTTTTTTTTCTGTCCTTTTGCTCCAGGAGGAGAAGAATAGGGAAAGAACCCAGTAATCTGTATTTACATTGAGCTGCCATATATTGTGAATGGACTCAGACATAGTTTTCCTTCAGTGACTCCAAATTAGTGTAATGAAAACATTCTTATCCCTTGAGTCACTAAATCAGTATAATGCAGAAGAGACGAAGTAACTATGATATCTCCCTATCTCCTCTGGGGCAGAGGTAAATGGAATAAACAGTGAGATGATTGGGGGGAAAAAAATCTTCTTTTCCTAAACAAATAAATAGTAAAGAAACTAAATGAGTGTCAAACTTCACAGAACCACACAGAGAACTGGAGCTTCAAACTGTAATTTTAAAAATAGTGGGAAGAAAAATGAAGGAGCTCTAACATGAAACAAATTTAGACAGAAAGAGAAAGAAATGGCATGCCAAGAACTGTACTGATTAGGAAGTGGGCAATTTAATTTCTTCAGGAGAGTAAATCTCCAACATGAATTAATTTGCTTCATGCTGAGTCCTGCTGGTTTTTGTTCTTTCCTCAATCACTGTTTATTTCACAAAATCAGCACTCACCTATCTTCTCTAATTATTTACTTTCAGGAGGATTTTCTCTCCACCAGCTAAACTGGGCTTCGCATGTAGTGTGTAAACACATTAGAGTGGCCTCCCTAGGTGTGGGGTTTATTTATTTCATCTTGGAGACAACACTGTTTCAGGGCTCCGTTTCCCCTCAAGTGACATCTCTTAGTGACATTCCTGAATCTACTTCCCACCGCATGCATCTTTTGTTGACATTTACCAAATGCACAGGTGCTGATACAAAATCAGGAAAGACAGGTATTCCTCTTTCTAAAGGAGAAATGGGTCAGGAGATATAGATGCTGTAAATAATACACAAAATGGCACTTCAAGATGAAAATTGGCATTGATTTCTTTGTTACTAACACCTCTGTGGCTGTCTGAACTCTTCTGCATTCTCAATTTATGCACAAGGTTGGTGTAATCAGGAGATTTATTTATAGGATGCAAGGCTATAACATTGAAAAAAAAAACAAGACTGGTATCTCAATGGGCTTATTTTGGTAAACTATTTAAATAAAGATTACTTGAAATATGGTACAAACATTTAGAAATAAACAGCTAAATATCCTCTAAGTGGAATCACATAGTGTGTTTTTCACTTTGCCTCAAGGACAAGCAGGATGCATGTAGCCTTTTCCTTTTATCTTTATTTCAGCTTCTTTACTGCTTCTGATTAGTGACCTCAATTGAGACTCATTGCTCATTGCAAAGGCTGCTAATAGATTGTTTGAGCCTGAATATGTTAGCATGGAATATTCCTTCTTCCCAGACAGAGGGCCTGGGTTTTTCCCCACCCTAGTCCCTTCTACCCAGAGTTCTAGATGATGACTGCCGGGTTATTCAAACGGATAATAGCGTTTCCCACCTTTTAAAATAGACTTCCCTTTATTATGTCCTTTGTAATGACATCTGTAGTCCTTATATTCAATAGCAAGCTTTTGTGCTGCCTCAATTTGAGCCAAGGCGTTTTCCTATCAAATCCCATCACAGAAGAGAGGATCATGAAACCAAAGGTTCATATAGATCTTCACACTGAACTCTGGCCATAAGATAACCTTTTAGATTACTAGCCTACTGGGATTACATTTATATTTTTCACTCGCATGCTCTGTCACTTTTAGAGACCAGAAAATGCTATTCATCGTTGCTAGGAGATGGGTGACTATGGCAACAGTGTGGGACCGAGAGCCAGACGCAGTGCCTAAAGCATCACCGGGTTTCTGCTCTCTTTTGATCACTAAATGACTCCACGGCAGTCCTGAGCAAGGCGGCCCCAAACCACCGCCTCTTCAGCTTGTTTCAAAAGACAATGCCACACGGTTTCTGCTCGCAGGTCGGCTCTCCCCATTTAACGAGTATCTTCTCAGTGGCTAACTATACACCATGAGGTTGTCTGAAAAAGGAACAAAGCTAGATAACAAGAGAGATTATCACTATTTAACTGTGTTTTCATACTGCTATTAATTTAGTTCAGATCGAGGGCCATATGCTTCCCTTCATCATTCCACCGAACTCCTAGTGACTTTCATAGAAGTCCCATGCAAAGAACGAGGGCAACATATGGCTCTATTAGTGGTTTGTTCATTCCTCAAAGATTGATGGGTGTTTTAGAGTCATGAATCATTATCGTTAAGACACCCTTCAATGTCTTCAGAAAGGAGCACTTTCACTGATCTGAAGGAGCCTTGCCACACAGCCTTAACAAGTATGAAACAGTGCTTCTTTTTGCTTTAAGAACTCGGAAACAAGAAAGAATATTAACTTGTTTCTCTTACAATAGACTAAGAAGGCAGCAAAGTATAGTCATCAGTGGTCATCGTCATATATCATTTATTTGGTCCTCTGTGATGACCTAGGAAAGGGTACAGCGGGGGGGTGGAGGGTGGGGAGACCCAAGAGGAAGTGATATGTGTGTAACTAAGGCTGATTTGTGCTGCTGGATAGCAGAAACCAACACAACATGGCAAAGAAATTTTCCTCCAATTAAAAGATAAATTTAAAAATAATTTGCTTATTGGGTCATGGAAGTCCAAATCTATTAACCTGACATTTTTCATCACTCCTCAAAAAACTATAATTCCTTATTACCCGCATCAAACCCAGATTCCTGGTCCTCCTCCGCTTGTGTGGCATCAACCCATCCAGCACAACTTATTCTCCTGTGAAAGTCCTTCCTCTCGTCAGCTCGCAGGAGCTATTTTGCTACCTCTTCCCTCCCACTCCCACTTTCACTACTTTTCACACAGATTATTTCTGAGTCTCCACTGCTGCTGTATTGTAAAACACCTTCTCCATCTCGAACGCTCATTTTGGTTCAAATATTTGCCAGGGACTCTGGCCCCAGACTAGGTTCTAGAATCAAAAAAGCATGAGAGTTCCTCATCATCCAAGAGGGGCAACATAGACCCATAAAACCAGCAATAGGCATCATTTCTGCCGTGTTCCCTACACGCAGGACTCACTCAGACACTATTCCTTATTTACTGCTCAGAATGCTGTTATCACTTCCAGGTTGTGGACGAAATATCAGCTCAGCTGGTAAAGGGTAAATGATTTACCCTAAGTCAGAGAGCCAGTTAGCAGTAAACCTGAGTGCAGAACCTAGGTCTGTCTCATCTTTAAAACTGCATTTGGGTTAATGTTTTGACACTATGAGATACTTTCAATGATACAAATGTGTATCCTTTGAGTATAGGAACCTAGAGAACAGAATGACCCAGCTCCATTCGGAAGGGTTTGAAAATAATTCCTAGGGTTTAGAAAGTTATAAATAAGGAGCTTAACAGTGAGCAGAGGAGGCAAAGGACATTTTTTGGAAAAGGTTGAACTTACAATTTTAAGCCCTTTTCTGCTTCTTTTAAAATGAGTCCTCTCTTTCACCCACTTCCCTGTTCCAAAGTGCAACTCAGGGCCTGCCTCTTCCGTAAGGTGTCAGTCCGGACCTCTTCCATGATGCTGTCAATCGGGACATTAACCCTTGCTCATCTCATACTTCTCTAAGCTCGGGTGCTAACTCGATTCCATCAGCCCCCTCGGGTCTTGACTTAGGTACCACCTCGTGCTGCTCTCAGTCTGAAGTGTATAAATGTTGAGCGCAGAAGACACACCTCTTGCCTCTTCTGTAATCTTCTAAAAACCTAGAGCTGTATCAGTAACATCACAGGTGATCTGCACATACTTCTTATTGGCAGGAAGTCATCACTCCTGTATCATATTTAAACTTTGCGAACTCTTTCATTTATGCATTCTTTTTAGGTCTTTGTAACACCCAGTGAAGTGTGCTGGCTTGCTGTGTATAATCCCCATTTTGTAGATTAAAGGAAACTGTAATTCATTGGAAAACCCAGAATCACACTGGAGATAAATAAATGATATGTCCAAGAAAAGAATTTAAGTGCTTTCTCCACTTCCCAGTTCTGAATTCAAAGAATGATTGATAGATGGATTAACTTCCAGGTTTTAGCAGATACACTAAGTCTCATGTCCATGCTGTCACTACAAAACCTGACATGCAATTTTTCTGTCTTCACATAAGTGTCCAACTCCTTTAATCTCAGAGAGACCTGCAAAACATTTCGCTTAAGCCATTCAGCTGTTTGATAGTTGAACCAAGAGCAAGAAGGCGTTTTTGAAAATGTGCATAAAGTAGCGTGGGAGCTACTCTTGTCCACACGAGATTCCTGGAAGAATCAGCTCAACAAGCCTCAGACTGCCTGTAAACAGCAGGTGGGTATTTCCCAGCCATCTGCTGGCTTCTCCAGTTGAGAGCCCTTGAGAAAGTCACTAACATGGTTGTGAATGGGATGAATGGTCCTGCTCATTAATCAAAGACTGCAGGAAAAAGAAAAAACTTGGTTCTCCCTGTCGAAGGCTGGGCACACCATCAAAGCCCAGAGGGAAGGTACAACACAGGGCAAAATGTCTCCTCTTCTTTATATTTTGCTTTCCCTAAAATGAAAAAACCTTCAGCCAGTGGCCTCGGGAGTATCCACTTTAAACAGAACCGTGCTTTATCCCATTGGAAGTGAAACCTGAAATCTTGCCATTTCCAACTCACGAGCCGGCAGGTAAACATGTTATAAAGCATTCACTGAATCTCAGAGGGCTTCATGGATTGCCCATCTGTCCTGCTCTTTCTACCCCCAGATCCAGACATATTTCTTCAACACTGACCACTGGGACAGAATTCAAAGGAGGTGTGTAAGTTCCACTCCCCCGTGGTGCTCCTTAGAACCTTAGAGAGAGCTGCCCTGAAGGGTGTCTTCATTAACACTCTCCCTCCTTTCCCCATTTCTCTCTTTTTAGACATTTTTTATTGGAGGGTGGTTTATTTACCATGTAGTGTTAGTTCCTGCTGCACAGAAACAAGTGAATCAGTTCCACCCACTCTTTATGGAATCTTTTCCCATGTAGTTCATTGCAGAACATTGAGCAGAGTTCCCTGAACTGCACAGAAGTCCTTATGAGTCACCCATTTTATATAGAGTAGTGTGCATACTCAGTTCAGACTGAGCGACTGAACTGAATGTGTATATGTCAATCCCAGTCTAAAAGTTTATCCTCCCTCCCTTCCCCAGCGGGTCCCCATAAGTTCGTTTTCTACATCCGTGTCTCTTTGTTTTACAAAGAAGTTCATTTCGACCGCTTTTTAGATTCCACCTATAAGCGATATCATATGATGTTTGTCTTTCTCTGCCTGGTTTACTTCACCTAGTATGATAATGTCTTGGCCCACTCATGTTGCTGCAAATGCATTCTTTCATCCTTTTTCATGGCTGAGTAATATTCTACTGTGTATATGGACCACATCTTCCTCATCCCTTCCTCTGTCGATGGACATTTAGGTTGCGTCCATGCCTCAGATATTGCAAACAATGCTTCGGTGGACATTTGGGTGCAGGTATCCTTTCAGATTATGGCTTTCTCCAGATATATGCCCAGGAGTGGCATTGCTGGACCAGGTGGTAATTATATTTGGAAGCTCCATACTGTTCTCCATAGTGGTTGCACCGATTTACATTCCCCCCAACAATGTAGGAGAACTGCCTTTTATCCACACCTCTCCAGCACTTATCATTTGGAGATTTTTGATGATGGCCATTCTGACCAGGATGAGGTGATACTTCACTGTAGTTTTAATTTTCATTTATCTGATAATTAATGATGTTGAGCATATTTTCTTGTACTTTTTGGCCATCTGCTTGTCTTCTTTGGAGAAATGTCTATTTATGTCTTCTGCCTGTTTTTTGAGTGGTTTGTTTGGTTTTTCTGACACAGAGTTGCATAAGCTATTTGTTTATTTTGGAGATTAATCCTTTGTTGGTAGCTTCATTTGCAAATATTTGTCCCATTCTGTGGGTTGTATTCTTATTTTGCTTATGATTTCCTTTGCTGTGCAGAAGATTTTATGTTTAATTAGGCCTCATTTGCTTTTTTTTTTTAATTTTCATTACTCTAGAAAATGAATCCAAAAAGATATTGCTATAATTAACATAAAAAGAGTGTTCTGCCTATGTTTTTCCTCTAAGAATTTTAGTGTCCAGCCTTACATTAGGTCTTTGATCCTCACATTAAGTTTATTTTTGTATATGGTGTTAGGGAGTGTTCTAATTTCATTTTTTTAACACGTAACTGTCCACTTTTCCCAGTCCCCGTTTTTTCCTTACTTCCTTCACATTATTCTGTACTAAGTGTTCTCCACCCAGCATATGGTTTTAAGAAAAAGGATTTATCATTTCTTTTATTTCTTCAAAGCCCCGTCTCCACGTCATTGGCTCCCTGTTTTACATATAAATAGGAGGTAAATTACATTTACTAAAATTAAGGCATCAAGTTCCATTTGAAAGGGAAAAATGAGCAAAAAAATTTAAAAATACGGAAAATAATTTTACCAGTAAACAAACAAAAAACTATACACTATTTCCACCTATATAGTTGGCAAAGATTGTTTTCTTTTTTTCTTCCTTTGAAAAAATTATTTTGTATTTTGTACTGAGACTTCTCAGTGGTTCACGCAAGAGAACCATGATCCAGGGCTGCAAGAGTCGCTTTGTAAGTAAAGCACCAGAAGTTATTCAGTCCTGATCAGACTCTTAATGACATGCTGTTCTCTGCTTCATGATCAGATACCCAGCCCAGGGATCTGGCTTCCTATCCCTGACTTCATCACAGCGGCTTTCCAAGTCGGCCCTGTCCCTATCTCTTTTGGTCCTGGTGATGATTTTTCTCTCCATCAGTCTCTCAGCCATCCAGCCCTCACCATCTGCACCGCAGCTCAGGAGAGTCTAGAGCTGACTCTGCACACAGCCTGCTCCCTCCCCATTTCAACCTGTTACCTTCTACTGGCCGTGGAGACTATCAAAGCGTCCTCCTCGCAACCACTTTTAAAGTGACTACCTAGTGCCTAATGAATCCTGATTTTTCTCGACTCTACTAAGCAAAAAACTACTCACATAAAATGTCTGTAATGTTTTTAAAATGCCAGAACAATCCTGGTTTTCTCAGTAAACATATCCCAGTTTGGGGAGGGTGAGTGTCTTCAGAGGAGGGTTGAAAATCCTTGAACCTATCTGTACACAAGTTATTGGCAAAAAAGAATTAACTTGTCTCGTGAGCACTTCTGGAGGAGGAAATGGCAACCCACTCCAGTGTTCTTGCCTGGAGAATGCCATGGATGGAGGAGCCTGGTGGACTACAGTCCATGGGGTCACAGAGTCAGACACGACTGAGTGATTAAGCACAGAGCACTTCAGTTAGTTCTTAAAGTGCGTCTTTCTTGCGCTGCCTTCCCTGCACTTTTTTCCCATGCAGAATATATTATTTTCTCCCTTGAAAGTCCGTGGCAGTGAGAAATGAGATGAAAGAAGCATACACAGTATGCACTCGGGTTACCTTGGAAATTATTGAACGTGCTTCTACCAGAGTTCCCTGTCCTTTGAGTTTCAAGCTGTTATAAACATCGCTTTCCATAGACTAGTAAAAATTCTCTTTAAAGTGACCTGGGCACTTTCAAATCAGACAAAGTCTACTTTTTAAAGATGGCCGGAATATTTTGCCATTACATTTTGCAATACATTTTTACAAAACCAACTTTTGTTGTACCGGGGGTCAGTTTTTTAAATTACATTGTCTGAGCCTCAATTTTAATTATGCCAAATTGGGAATATAAATCTTCTATAAATGAACCCTTAGAAAACCTAAGTGTACCACATTACATACCTTTTCAACTTCTTTCCTCACCACTAACACATGCACAGACAGAAAAAGCCCTGAGAAATTCATGTACTCTTTTCTTTTCCTATTCAATCTCTGGTCATGATGATTACAAGCAGAGAGGATTACTGAAGGACATGTAACTGCAGGGAAAATAGGAAAAGCAAAGAGCCAATATAATCTTCATATTAGATAAAGAGTTAAAATATACTTTTTGTTGCTTTTGTAGATTAATATTTCCAATTAATAATGCACTCCAAGGCACACTCCTAAAAACCTCACATTTTTAAATTAAAAGCTTCCTTGTTATTACTCACACTGATTCAATGTAACCTCTTAAACCTGGCCTTGCTTCATAAACATGACTTTAATAATAGTTTCTTTTTTTTTTAATTTTTTTCCCATTTATTTTTATTAGCTGGAGGCTAATTACTTTATAACATTGCAATGGTTTTTGTCATACATTGAAATGAATTAGCCATGGATTTACATGTATTCCCCATCCCGGTCCCATTTACCACTTTTTTCATTATTTCTCAAAAAAAACCCTTTTCAAGTGGGTAGATTCATTCAATAAAGCGTTAAAACACATTCTCAAATGAACCTACAGTTGAAAATTTAGTTGAAGAAAAATGCACGATTAGCCTCCTCACCCTTATTAAGCATAAGTCATTCTGTCATGTCCGACTCTCTGCGACCCCGTGGACTGTAGCCCGCCAGGCTCCTCTGTCCATGGAATGCCCCCGGCAAGAGTACTGGAGTGGGTTGCCATCTCCTTCTCCACCTAACCCTCATTAAACTAACCATATATTCTAGCTATAATGTAATAGCCATAACTTTAAATATTCAGTCTGGTGCTGTGTCTCAATTTTGGGTTCATGATATACGATTATTCCACCCATGCGATTATGCAGGTTCACTTTGGCTGGTTACTTTCAATTAGTACAGAAATATTCATATCTGAAGATTTGTTAGAGAGTAACATCTATCAACTATACATGAGGTGGTTCTTGGATAACTTTGTAATTCCTGCACTGTAGTCTCACTATACTCTTATATTGACAGTTTCTGATTGCTAAAATAAATTGAAAAAAAAGTTAAGGCAATTCATCTTGGCTCTGCATACTAAAAACCAGCAAGGTGGGATGTGCAAAGTACATACCATCCTGTGATTAAAGAAGTTTACTTCAAAATGTTCAAAGCAAATTTTTAACAGAGCAAAATAAATCACATGTTTAAATGTTGTGTACTTTGACAAATTTTCTCTTTCCTATACCAAGATAATGGACTCTGAAGCCAGAGAGACATGGCTCCATTTTTTGCTAGCTGCAGGATATATGTGTGAAACTTACTTAACCTCCAGAACTTTGTTTCTTTGATGGCAAAATGAGGTGAAGAGTTTACAGAATTGCTGGCAGCTTTAAATGCACTAAAGAAGTGTGAGGATGCCTGGCACATTTCCTGGCATACAATACCCAATAAATGTTAGTTTCATTTTCTCATCTCCAAAATACTTCAGTGGTACATCTCTTAATTGTAATTCTGACCTTTCATTTTACATAAGTCCCTAATTTGGAGATACTTTTACAGTTTAGACACCCATCTTCTCAATAAAGTTGACTGCTAGCTCATTTTGTGATTTCAACTGTAACAGAAAGTCCTCAGCTCCAAAAATACTTCTCTTGACCATGCTCATGCCTAAATCTTCTTTTGCAGGAGGCAAAGGCATTTATTCCAGAACTACAGATAAATCCAAAATTATAAATCCCCCAAAGAGAGATAACAACACCATGACTTAAATTCATAGCAGGTTTCACGTGACTGAGAGCAGATACTTTCCTGTGATTAATCGGGGAGAGCATAGTGAGAACATAAGCAAGACGCAGGAACCTGGGCTGGGAATAGGGTCCACAGAGGAAGGAAGATGATTTTGAAGTTAGAGGTAAATTCAAAGACAAGCTTCAACCACACAATTTTTCATTCATACTAAATCCTGCAAAAGGAGACTTGATTTACAGCACAATTTTTTAAAAAATGTTTTGGCTGATAGTGGTAGAAAATCCAGCTTAAATTACAGACTTGTTTTGATCATAGTGATACTTTCTGTTTTTCCTGATCAACCCAGGGTATTTATATGATCAGAGATGGTAGAATTAGAAATATGTCAGTGTGCACAGTATGATAGACTCTGCCCATGGGTGTTGCTGGTAGGTAGAGCTGTGTGCGTGTTTAACATTCACAATTTAGTATTAAGAATGGGTGTTTTCAGGCTTGTTTTCCCTATAGTTGGAGTAACAAATAAATGAACTATTGAGTCAAACACACAGAGGAGCCAGAGAAGGTATTAGACAGCAAGGTTTTCAAATCAATCAGTATTTCCAACCCTTTGCTCTCTGCAGTGGTTAGCGGCTCTACTGAAAGCTCTGAAATTGTCCTGGACTCACCAGGCAGCCAAATAAAGAATCAAAGGGAGGAAGAGTTTGGCTTTGTTGCAAGCCTCACATCAATGACTCTGTGGCATGCTTCAGCCCAAGACACAGAACCCATTGCTTTCGTCAAGAGCAGTAGCCTGGTTAAAAAATATATCAGGTGACTTAAGCAAATTCTGAAAGCACTGAGCTATCAGACTTGAGTATTTATGGTCTTTGATTGTAAACTTCCAAAGAACAAAGACCATATCATGTATTGATATATTCCAAACTAGCATTCTACGAATGCTCAGGGAATATTAAACAATTACATTTTATTGCAGAAGGCTTTTAAATGTCTTCTCTTACAGGCCATGCTTCTTAAACAGTGTTGCCTATTTTGTGTACATTCTGAAGCCAGTGCCATCCTTGTCGAAGTTTAATAAAACCCTAATCATCCTTCATGCTCGGAAAGATTGAAGGCGGGAGGAGAAGGGGACGACAGAGGATGAGATGGTTGGATGGCATCACTGACTCAATGGACATGAGTTTGAGTAAACTCCGGGAGTTAGTGATGGACAGGGAGGCCTGGCGTGCTGCGATTCATGGGGTCACAAAGAGTAGGACACGACTGAGTGACTGAACGGAACTGAACTGAAGTCATCCTTTAGTAGGAGGCTAAATATAGTTTCTTTTTAGAAGCTTTCTCTTGTTTTTCAGCTCACACTTACAACTTCTTTTGTAATTAAAGACAGCATGATAATTTAGTACTTTGCACTTCTATTGTCTTATTTTAATTCGTTTTTCTTAACTGTGTTATCAGTTCACCATAGTGAAGATCATGCTTTACTATTTTATTACCAACCCCATTCCCATGCATTCTCAGCCCATGGTATGTGATTTTTTAAAAACAATAATAATTTGACTAATTCACAACGTTGGATTATTAAAATTCATATATCAACATTTTGTTTCTGTGTCCCCCATATCCAAATTCATACTTGAAGCTGGAACCCCCTATGTAACTGCATTTGGAGAAACAGCCTGTGAGGTGATAGCAATTTACTGAGGCTACAGGATGAAGTCATAAGCCGACAGTGCCCATGTTAGAAGAGGAAAGTACCAGAACGCTCTCCTTCTGCCAGTTAAGGACGTCGAGCTGGGAAAAGAGTTCTCACCAGAAATCGACCCTGCCGGACCCTGACCTGGGACTTCCAGCCTCCAGAATAATGAGAGTAAATTTCTGTGTTTAAACCACCCAGTCTATGGTATCTTTTTCTGGCCACCCCAATAGACAGATACATCATGAGAACAAGACAAAAAGGAAACCCATTTTGAGAAAGCAATATGCAAATCCAATATGTATGTTTTCAATTTTGAGAAAGAGCTGCATTCAAAGCCATAAGAAATCAACTTCTTGGTTTAGATGTACAAGAAAGAAAACCTTTGTGCAAGAAAGAAAACCGTTGTGTAATTCTGATAGAAAACTTGGCATTGCACTTTCAGTAATGCAGTGACAATTTCAGAAAAAGATCGTGACTTGAAGAAATTCCTTATAAATTTATGAAGGAAATCAAGTTAAACATTAAAAAACAAAGCCACTAATTATAGATAAAATCACTCCATGATGTGTATATAATTTTTTTAAAACTTTATAAAACAATTCCATAGGAAGCACCTCTCAAATATTGGCATTGACTTAGAAGAGCCAAGGTCGTCTTGTTGAAGGCCCAATTCCAACAGTCTTTGGTCACCAGGAGGGGGCAGCAAGGCACACGCGATGCCTCAGTGTCTGAAACTCTAGGGAGCCTTGCCAGGTTAAGCAGGAAGTGTCTAGGTGGGACACAAAAGCATCAGATATGAAAAAAAAAAAAGCAGCTCTTATAAGTCCGGGCCAAGCCCCAGAAAGAGGAGACAGCAGGAACACACAAGTCAAACTTTTATGTACACCAATGGAATACTTGGGGTTGGAAATGAGAATGTTTATCCTTCTAAAATCAGTATATGCCAACAATTTCTTAATGCTTCCACCGAAATTACTAAAATAGCACAGAATGTTGGAGTTATCCAGCCCTGACTTCTCACAGTTAAATCTGAGACATTTTTCTTTCTATTCGTTGACTTTAAGCCTTCACGGAAAGCAGCCGTTTTGAAAGCATTTTGAATAGTTTGGTGGTCTACATCGACTACTGAGTTTCTCCCAGGAAAAGAGAAGAAGGACTTTTAGTTGTGTATAACTGCAGAAAAATAGTTTGGTCTAAAAGTAGTCTAGCTTTTGCCTATCAGAATATGCCCAGAATTAGACCCTAAAAGAAATTAAGCTAGATCTAAAAGATATCAGGCAATACGAAAATATTGAATGTTTAATTTCTTACTAGTTTCACTATATTAATACGACACCCCTTTGTAGTTATCATGCATTTGTTAAATGTAGAGGCAGGCTCCTCTCTCCATGGGACTCTCCAGGCGAGAATACTGGAATGGGTTGCCATTTCTTCCTCCAGGGGATCTTCCCAATCCAGGAATCAAAACCCCATCTCCAGTGTCTCCTGCATTGGCAGGCAGATTCTTTACCACTGTGCCACCTGGGAAGCCCAAATGTAGAAAGAGTTGATAAATATTTTGCTGAGTAGTCAAAAAGGTTTTGAGATGATCAATTTTCTCACCTAGCCACAAAGTAAGCCCTTACAGCTTTCCCTACTGGAGGTAACATTGTAATGTTTCCGTGCAGAACATTTCAGTGCTGAAAAGATTCTAGGGAGCCAGAAAGAAAAGTGATGTGGAGCTTATTTTCTGATAAATCTATATAAACTCCGACTTCCTTGTTCCTTCTCCACTGAGAAAAATCTACATGTTAATTATTTTTGAAGGATCAACTTCCACCTAGGGCCAAACACAAAAAAGGAAAGGGAGTAAGTAGAAGGGAGGTTGAGGAGAGAAGAGGAAAAAGCAAGCCAGCAAAGTCCCTGCACGTATCACCGCATCCGACAGCACCGGGACTGATGCTCAATTTTCAGAAATGAAAGTTTATACATCGTCTCCCTTTTCTGGTCTCTGACTATCTTTGCATCAGAAACATGAGCAAACTCCCCTGTTGGGATTCAAGAAAGAGATTTTCCTTCAAGACTTGATTTCTGCCTGCAGTGAATTTTTACGACCAAGTTATTAACCCCTGAAAAATGGGACTTATAATGGAAATACTGATAGATTCCTAATGGTAGCTATGCTGGTAGGCACCTATATATTAGCCTTAATAATGTCAAATTGTGAAACCAAAGAGATTGAAAATCTACTAATTTACACTTATGGAATCTCTGCTTCAGTAGTTTTCGATATCGCCCTCATTTGAATGATTTTTTCAGGCTGTTCTAAAGACTAGTGTCCTATATTTGTGAGAACGAGAGTTACAATACTATAGGGTTTTGTGAGCATCATAAACTTAGAACAGCGTATTTATTTCTGAATAGCCCAAGACTCTGTGGTCCTTTTCTATTTAGGAAATTCACCTGCATAAAAATCTTGAGTTCTGCAGCCATAAATTCTATAGCCTGAGGCCTTTCTCCTTTTCCTCCCATTTTTTATACATTTTATTCTGCTTTCCAGTGGCTCATTGAACAGCTGAGGCGGTTAACAATGTAATTTCATGAACAGTGACCAAATATATATATATGTGTGTGTGTGTGTGTGTGTGTGTATATATATCCTTGACTTGGATGGATAAGCAGACTCCCCTCACTGTTAGTAGAATTACAGTTGGATGCCAGACTTCCATTGGCTTGATCTCATTACATAACCTATTCTCTGCAACTGTCTTCTGTTATGGCCTGTTTTATGCGAGCTGACAGCCCGTATATAGATGTAGCAGTAAATACATTCTGTCACTGCTTAAACAAAAATTTTCCTATCATCATGTTTATCAGGATAAATGTGTTGCCAGATATATTCTTCTCCCTGAGTTGATATTAGCAGAGCTCGGCAAATGTCATCTCTCCGTTCTCAAGGGGCTCTTCTCAAGTTCTCATTTGGCATTTTAAAAACACTGAACATGGTTGAATGGATCCAGATGCATTCTCTAACAGAAGTTATGGAAACATGGAGAACAGCTTCATTCTATCAAGTATCAGATTATTTCAGGGCTATTCTGACATGAGCAGGAAACCAGTTGTAGCATACAGCGCAAGAAGAAAAATCAAATCTGTCATTAGAGAAAATTTTGAAAACTCATACGTAAAAGCTTTTGGCATGTGGGAAGCCATTTCTCACTCATTATGTGTTTTTTAAGAACGATTTGAACAAAATAATGTAAGCATCATAGATGGAGAAATACAATGCTGGTTCTGATTTCAGAGGCACATGTTTAAAAGTCAAACACAGCACATATGGAAAATAGCAATAGTACTCAGGATGCAAGCAGTACGTTTACACAGCTCCATTATAGACACTATACTAAACAGCATTTGTGTGGATAGAGTTTTCCCTTAGCCTTTCTCAGCCACTAGGAACAATGCAAGAATTTCAAGTACCTGCCATCTCCCCATTTAAATCACTGAGAGGCGTACCCCTTGCATGCAAACCTCTAGCTGCAGCTGACGGCTGTAAGCCCGTGGTATTCCAACTGCCATCTGGCAGGAGAGATTCAATCCATTGCTTCAGCCACAGTGGTCTGTCTCCTCTGGCTCTGGGAACTGCACTAAAGTGCATGATTTAAACATCTTTGCTGTCACATTATTGCTGTTCAGTTCATTAAGACAAAATTTTAAAAAACCATAGGGGGGAAAGTATCCCCTAAAGAGTATTATTTGTTGTAGGGAAGAAAAGTCTTGAAAATCAACAGTTGCTGAGAGGCCTCAAATTAGTTTTATTCATAATGCTAGGTCTTCTAAATGTGAGGTAGCAGAACAATAATTACCAAATAAGCCAAATTCTTAATGTATAAAAGGCCCGATTCAAACACTCGTGTAGGAAATTGCAGTGTTTTAAACAATTTGAAGTTTATAAAAAACCTTTGCCTTCTTCCTCACTCCCCTGTCAAGATCATTTCTCATTCATTTTGCAGTCATTCGCTGGGCCATTGTTCCATACCAGACCCTGGGCAAGGCCGTGGGACTAGAAAGGTAACTAAGACATAGTCTTTGCCTTCTGAACACTAACAAGAGAACAGGCTTTGATTTCCGATCCGCGGTGAATCACTACTTCTTTGTCACATGCGCGCGCGCGCGCGCAGACACACACACACACACACACACAGCTCCATCGACGGTGGGGAACAAGCAGAGCCAAGGCTGCCAGCTTTGTGTGATCACGCCCGGCTTCCAGCAGCTTTCCCTGCACACCACGGCATCCACCCCCGAGGAGGTCGGCAGTTGACCTCCACTCTTTGCTCACCCAGAGGCACTGGGCGGTGTGACGCACCCCTATCACCAGCTGTAGTTCCCTTTGGCAGTAACTTTCACTGGGGGTTGTTGTGGGTATGTAGGAGATGCGGGCGGTGGGAGAGCGTTTACAGAGTTCTGTTTGGAAAAGGCCCAGAGCTGGTTTTGATTATCCCTCCAGCCCCCTTGAGAATCGCTGCTCCAGCGTGCAGAACTGAACAGGGCAAGGTGGGTGAGTCTCCAGGCGTGCCCTTGTGTGACCGAGATGGACCGCTGAGACGCCGACCGTGAGCTTTCCTAGGAGCCTTCTGTATAAACTGGCCCACTTCACCTTCTCTTCACTAGGGGACACAGGCTTTCTATGTACAAAGGGCAGATTTTCTCTCTTACCTTCTCACATGACTCTCCTAAGTTCTTGGCTTCAGTATTTTTCGAGGTTCCATGGAAACAATGCAGACAATTTTCAGATATGGGATGTGGGGATTTTTATTCTACTTCTGAGAGGATTCCATCAGAACATCTGGAAAAGCCCAGCTCTCCAGGGTTCGTCAAGAGAATGAGACTCACTCAGCCATCACTACCAAATAGAAGCTTGAATAGATGAGATTGAACCTACAGAAGGCCTGAGAAAAGAAAGCAAGGGGCAGAAGATGCCATAAGTTATTACACCTAGTTATTAAATTCTGAGCTCCCCGTTGGATTGTAGAAACAAAGGCAGAGACAGACGAAGGGAAAAAAATAATAAGGGGATGAAAAGCTCCCACAGAGGATACTGGTTGATAAAAGGGAATTCAGGAAATAGACCGTGTCCACATCACTTCTCCAGTCTCCACAGTGAAGCCAGGA